GAAAATTTCAATGTTTATTTTTAAAAATTATATGTTCAAATTCTAACAGTGTCATATTCATATTTTATATGTTTTTTTTTCAGAAACTATAGTTTTAAACTTTATTTATATAATTATTAGCGAAAAAATAGGTTATATTAATTCATTATAAATTCTTTTATGTTCATTATAATGTAATAAATGTTCATTTGAAATATACTAAATGTTCATTATATATATTAAATCCCAATTGAGGTTTATAATTCCTTAACCCAAATTAATTAATGTTCATATATCGATCTAACTCAAATGTTCATAAAAAACATATACATGTTCAGATATCTAACATAGTATGTTCATAATTACAAAACTTAAAAAGGTTTTTAAAATACGTAAATCGAAAACAAAATAAATTTTCATATGCAAAAAAATCAAATGTTCAGATATATAAATTATAAAGTACAGAATGCCGAATTTTTAAAATGATTAAAAATACATAGATCTAAAACAAACAAAAAAGTTCATAAGTAATGAATAATTATTGGAAACGTATCATGCGTTCATACTTTTAACTTAAAATGTTCAAAATACCAAAATAACCAAATACAGAATTGTTCATAAAAAAATACACAAATATCACTAACAAAAAAATCAAAACAATACGAAAATTACATATTCCGATCCGAAACTCAAACCTAGCTATGGGGATTTAGAGAATGGAATCTCTTCGGAAAATAATCATCTCCGCCGTCTTAACCACCTTCTCCTCATCGAAGCCGCCATTTTCAGCTTCACTTTATGCAAAAACTCCATTATCAAAGTTTCAAATCGAAAGTTGAAGAAAACGAAATTTGAATTTAATCTATGGTGATCAACAATGGTGATGAAGGAGTTCAATCTATGGTGATCAACATTGGTGATGAATGATTTTAATCAAACAAAATGATGAACAAATTCAAGAGAGAGAAAAATAGAGGAGAGAGAAATCAGAAATTAGAAAAGTGTGAGAGGGGGAAAAGAGAAGAGAGAGAATATATTTTTACTTGATGTTTCACTTAGTTAAAAATTTGCGATTGATCAAATATTTAAACTAAATGTTCAAATTATTGACGTGGTGCACTTAGAAATAGGGGCAAAGGCTACACATACAACCCTTGTATGTGGGACCTACATACAATTTGACATGGCTTTTTTTTTATTGGCTATTAAATTAGGTCCCAAATTCCATTTAATTTGAAATTTCATTTGAATTTGAAGTGAAATTTCTGATAATCTTAATTTTAAAATTCAAAATCTTTGTCAATTTCTATGTTCACATTTAATTTCTGAATTTATTGATTTTTTTTTATTGTTCATTAGCATTAGTGTCCCATGGAACAGCAAAGTAGCAAACAACGCTCCATCCAAATGGAAATGCAAATTTCGGGTGACTTTGACACCTATACGCTAGTGCCGAAGGTTTAGAAACTACCTACTGCAATGTTATTCAGGAAGCAGGAAAGTAAGGACATGCTTAGTGCTAGTGATATGATTCTTGATGTTTTATTTAGCTTTTGGTTATTATGTAAATCCATTCCCCTAAGCCCAAGCTTTCTGCCCATTTGTTTTTCAATTTGGGTAAGGAAAGTCTTGTTGAAGTAAGACAACTATTTTAATAATATAGTTCCCCCTTTTAACAAAAAAAATAATGTACTCTTTTATAAGTTATACTAGGTTGAAATCTCATGCAATGCACAGTTGTTAAATATTTTTGACAATAATATTACAAAATATAAAGTATATAAAAGATATTCAGAAATATTTTATTTAGGTATATATGGAATATGATTGTCAAACTGGAAAAAAATATCATAAGGTATAAATAATTTTACAAGGTAATGACAAGTGTCATGGAAGAATTTGCTTTTAGTATAGGTTAATTAATAGATAGATTTCCTGTAAAAAAAAAAAGGTTATATTTATCAATTTTTATACAAGTAGTAAATTAATCCAAGGTTCATAAGCATTGCACCTGGCACAATCTTTGGCTTGCATATGGCATAAACCTTAATTAATTAATCTTCATAATGTTTCTTTTATGTTTAAATACTAATTTAAATCCCTCCCGTATTTTTGTTCTCCATTAAAATTCAAGTTGAATTTGAATTTTTATTTTTCAGAGGGTTAAAAGATAAAAATATAAATCATTAAATGTAGGAGATTTAATTGCTTACATTATTATTTTAATTATTAGATTAAGGAGATTCAAGGGACATAAAAATGTCAATAATGGAAGAAATATAATTTCAGACATAAAAACGTCGAAAATGAAGAAAATCCTCCCAAAATAACGCACGCAATAATTTGGTAAATTAATTGGTAACAAAACCGTAATTATATGATCAATTACCTACAATGCAGTGAAGAGTAATGTATTTTGTTTGCAAAATGTTTACATGCATGGTGAATATCTCGCAATGTTGGTTACTAACACACTGCTCATAAATTGTTACACATTCAATTTGGTACCGGGTTTAAATCTTATCCTTAATCACAACGTTTTTTTAGTATAATATTCTGATCACATAATTATATGGTAACAAAGAATGAAGATATAGTATCCGAAACTATATATTCTATGGATATATGACACTTTTTTAGTAACAAATTTTCTTAAAATGAAAAGTAACAACTTAATATTAAAGAAATAAGTCGTAAACACATGGGATATTTAGCAATAAGTGATAATAATAATAATAATATTGTGTGTAACTAATCATGATTCGATTTAAACTCTTAATTATTTTATTTAAATCTTCAAATCTATAAATTAAATCTTACTACACTTAGATTGTAACTCTCAAAGGCCTCAATAATATTTCAATTTTGATGCTTACAATTGAAATTTTAAAGTAATGCTAAATGTTAGTACATACATACTACGATTGTTGATTACATCATGCTATGCAAAACTATTTGACCTTTGTATGAGTCAAATATAATTTTACAAAATTCAACATTTTCAATACCATGCATGATTGTTGATTAGGAAAAGAGGTAGAAATGTAAGCAAAAATGATTGTATGTATTCCAAAGTGATTTGTTTCTAGCCCTTCACTATTTCATTCTGACCCTTCACCCTGTGACTTTTGCAACTTCATTCGAAAAAAATTTCTAGTAACAACTTTATGATTAATGAAATAATTATTGTAAACATATGAGAGTACTTAGAAATTTGAACATGTGAAAATAATTATATATAACATTTTGTGATTTAATTTTAACTCTCGTTGTTTTTTTTTTTTTAAATTTAAACCCTCCAATATATAAGTTATATTTACAACAAGTGATTTGAATTTGTTCTTTAGAATAGACAAAGATTGTAACTCTCGAAATTTTGGTTACCATTGAATATGAAATTGCACTGATGTTACATTGTTCCGAGTTCGATCCCTTGCAAATGCATAATTCGTCCCTTTTTCAAAACAAAAAAATTTACCGCCCTTCTATGAATCTTCTTTATTCTAACGTAAATGTAACGTAAGCAACAAATATAGTTTCTCACAAATTCTGGATTTTATTAGGTAGTTTCTTACAAAAAGTCCTTATTGATACTATAAGCAAACTAGTATTTTCCATATATTTAATATGAGTAAACTAGTATTCGTAAATATGATAAAATCAAATAAAAAATAATAAAATTAACTTATTTAGTAACGCAATTCTTATTAATGAAATATATTGTAAACACATATGAGTATTTAACAATAATAAGTTGTAAATGATAATAATTGTGTATAACCCACAAATGTATGAATCAGATCATAATTTACAGCAATGTATTCATATTTCATCTTAGAATTGGAAAATCAATGTCTTTCATTATTATTTAAGACCTCTAATTCGTTCATTGTTATTGTTGTTTGGAAATTGGATTACTTGAGGCTTAAAAATGTAGATGACTGAGAGGAGGACTAAGGTATATACTGTCTGCGCGTTATAATATATTTATGTATGTATAGAGGTAATCATATTGTAAATTTGTGTGTAACCTTTCATGAATTTATTTCAACTCTTAATTATTTGATTAAAAACCTTTAAAGAATGAATTAAACCCTCCAAAGTATGAATTAATCCGTACAACACTTGATATTGTATAATTGTATCTAACACCTATTTAATTTTATACGGTTACTTTATATGTAATAAAATTATAATTTGTACTTTGATATGTTTGAAATTTTTGTGGTACCAATAATGGACAAATTAGTAACACTTATTTATAAAATAACAAACTATAGTAAGATTAAAATTGTCCAACTTCATAATATTTTCGAAAATATATCAATATGGATGTCTATAGAAAGATCATTAGAAATTAATTTCATTGGTTTTTTTATTATATTTTTTTGATTTGTAGTTTGTAAAATATTGTCAAATGAAGTATTATTCGATTCTTATAATAAACATCTCTCTTCATTAATGACGCTGAATAGGATGTTATTTTCTCTAGTAACAAAATTGTATTTTTTAGTAAAGTAAAATATTTGTTTAGTAATAAGGAAGATTATTTGGCGCCAATGAAATTTGTCCCGCCTTCTTGTGGTAAATGGCGCCAAAAGCCAAAAAAATTTCCCTCTCATATTTCTAGCTAATGAATTTTTAATTGATGTTGTATGTGTGGTCCGCATACAACAACTGTATGTGTTTCACCTCCCAGAAATAGTGCACCTTAAAATTTGCGTAATGAATGACCTCATGAAAAGTCATTACGTTATTCTGACCTCACTTATAAGATTAAGGCATTCGAGCAGAATTATTATTTCTAAAATTGTCTTTCATCGATTATATAGATCCATTATACATTTAGTAAACATGAATATACAAGCGATAATAACAAATCGAACGCTGTTGCATGAGAAACAGGTGTCAGTGTTTAGAAGCCCACGCATATCGTTTCTCATGCCACGTCCTTGCCTTCATACCTCCAATTTCCCATTTTCTCACCGAATTGACGCATTCATTAACTCCAACTTAACGGAAATTTAACACTATATATTCTATAAATCGAAAATACTATACTTTAATTTTAGTAACTAAGTATTTAAATTTTGTAACACTACTCTTTCATCTTGATCAATTCAAAATTCTGTTGTGATTTATTCGTGCATCATGAATTCGAAGCATCTTTCGTCCACTGCTAATTCTGTCATCCATCAATGTTCTATGTACATTTTCTTTCTCCCTATCTATAATTTGATCTTGCATACACGTTGAATGCGTACTTGTGTGTTTTATTTATGATCCGAATATATTAGTTTGTGTCTCCGCTAATGCACGGGATATATATTTATATATTTGGAATTGAATCTCATTGTTGCGGTGTATTATTGTTTTTGTTATTTAGCTGAATTCAATTAATTGCGTGATTTGGTTGTTCATTTTGGTTCAGTTTATTGTTTCGTAATTCTCCATCTTTTTTTTTTTTTTTTTTTTGTTTATTTGTTTATTTACAAGAGATATGTTAATGGTAATTTTCATGTCATAATTAATTTTATGTAGTATCTAATAGTATATTACTCTCTCCAAACCTAATTTTTTTTTTTGGCCCCTTATTGTTATTTTTGGGTCAAACTTGTAAAACATTGACCACAAATATAAGAAATAATATATAATTAAGTGGAATCTTGTTAGACTCTCTCATCTCCAAATAAAGAATTGTGGATAAGTTTATGGTTTGTGTCCTTTCGGTACTCCTGATCTCCAAATAAAAGTCCTATTTACCTTTTTGGGCACGTGGAAGGTGAATAAAAGTATAATAAGATAAAGAACGGGTTTGGTTAATTAGAAGCGACGAAAGAAATACGAGGGGTTAAAGGTGAAATGAGAATTTTATTTAAAAATAAGGTATTTGGGTGAATGAAACTTTTATTTGGATATAGGAGTGTGTTTACCATGTAAATGATGTAATCATACTAAGTGAGCACTGAGGTAGTATGAACTGTTCTAAATGATGTTTTGAGTGAAATTGTGACATTTTTGACAACGAGATGTTTGGACTATGTGAATCTCCGGTTAGAGAGAATAATTAACAATTATGACACTTTTTTTTTTTTTTTTTTTTTTTAATCTATTTGTACATGACATTTTACTATGAAGATCGTCCGCTTAAATTATGCTGCCCCCTAAAATGTAGGACTAGTACTTTATGTTATAATATTTCTAAACATGTAGAATGTGGAGGTATTATAATTGAAGAAGAATTGATATGTTAATTTATAAGATGGTACTCTATATGAATATAAATTGATAATTCTGGTAAGAGTGTAGTTTCCGAAGGAAGAACATAGAAAATTAGATAAACCATTCCTTCAATTTAAGCTACTCGAATTTGTTCATCATCTAATTTTGTTCACTGCTTGGTTTAAATTTGAAATAAAGTATTGTATGATGATCTTTTTTCTGGGTAGGAAATTACACACCTCTGTGGATGCATTGTTGGAAGAATATAAGGGAGTATGGAAGCCAGAGATGGGCGAATATTCACGAAAATTAGTGGAGTTTTGCTGCTCAAAGGCTGTAAGACAGGGGCCAGCTTGTGGCGAAGATGACTATATTAGTGATAGTTCCTTTAGCCGCTTCACATTTGACATGATGCTAGCATGGCAGATGCCAAGCTCTGCTGATGAAGAATCTTACAGGGTACATTTTTGTGCACCCTAATATGTACTCTTTCCATCCGTACTTAATAATCATATAGGATATCTGCGGAGAATGTAGACAAAATGAAATAAATATGTTAGTCATTTCCTGATTAATTTGATCGATAATATAAGAGAGCTTTAGTCATCTCCTGATAAATTTGATATAAAGTTATGTGTATAATATAAGAGACCTCTTAAGTTTACCCGTCAAGTATGGTAAGGTAGATGCAAGCGATTTATATTTGATATTTTTGGAGATTGATTTGATCCTCAGTCTCAGTTTTGTTGTGCTTAAAGTGTCCTTATGCTGTCCAAGTTCAGCAATACAACATCGAGGGTATGACATTCAATAGGATAGTCTGAATACATGTCCCAACGACAGTATAGTAGCCTTAATGGATTATTTTATTCATGGAATATTGTTGCTTGCAATTTCCTGTTGATTCGAGTACAGGTTCAATAGTCGTAATGATATACTGCAAGGGCACTGTATGAATTTTGATATATTTTGTAAGTCTCTCATTGAATATTTAGTTCCCTGCTTTTGTATTGATTTACAGGAATCTTTAGGTAAAGAGAAAGAAGAGAAGAAATCCCTTGTAGCGACTCAACCACACGAAGATGTGTCATTGTTCTATTCTGACATCATGCCACTGCTCGTAAGATCTTCACATTTATTACAATTCTGTCACATTTCCATTATCTGTAGATACAATTGTGGGAACCAGAAATATTTCAAATATTTAGCATTTGTTGTTTTCAGTCCATTGACAGCAATTTGAATTATGACATTGCATTGGTAGGTTGATCATGGACAAGGTGTTAAGGAAGATGCTTTTGTATGGTTTGCAACAATGCTCCCTTTGCCTGGAGATGTAATCAATGGCAGATTCATCTTTGAAACGCTTACGGCATCTACAGCAAACATTCTCCATTATCCAGCCTACGATAGATTTCTCACAGAAATTGCCAAGTGAGATGACTTTTTTATTCACATGTATTAGTTTGCTTTGCAATTTATTGGATATTACCTCCATATAGACAGAATGGCATCATAACTATTCCAAATCTTTAGAAGTGCTTTATAAAATTAGTATTGATGTATTATATGTAGCCACCTATAACATCTTCCCTCATCTCCCTAAATATGTTAACAATCTAACTTTCCACTTAAGCTATCACGGCTTCATGAGTCTTGGACTTTCACGGGTTTAAATATTCTAAAGATTTCACCTGGCACGAAGATTATTTTTTTGGACAGAAGATAGTTAAAGAATTTTAATGTATCATCATTCTTTTTCTTGTAACTGTCTGAATGTGATACAGCTCATAAATTTGTTCATGTAGTAAGGCATTAGGTTACTTTCACCGAGAATACAGAAATAGGCTTTTTTTTTAGTTTCAATTTTGTTGGAGTCATTTCAGGTGTATAAGGCATTTGCAAAAGGAAAAAACACCAAAGGGTGTCAAACTCGCTGATGATGAATATATATTGCATGTTGAGGGAACGGCAAGTAGTCAACGGGTAGTCCGTCATATTGGAGGAACAAGCTGGCCAGGTTGGTTAAGCCATTGTATTTTAGTTTTTTTTTTTTTTTTTATAGTTTCTAAGAATCATTCTACATTGAACTCTGGAAAATTTTCACTTCTGCTGCTGTTCTATCTAGGTAGACTGACACTCACCAACTATGCTCTCTACTTTGAGGCCATGGGATCTATAAATCATGAAGATTCAATAAAAATGGATCTCTCTAGGAATATCGAGCAGAGTGTGAAACCAGCTGCTACAGGTCCATGGGGCGCTCCACTTTTTGATAAAGCCATGCTTTATGAATCCTCAGAACTGTAAGACTTTGATCAGCTAGTTAGAAGTAACCTTATTATGCTTTCTGTTTCATTTTTGGGTCTGAAATTATTGTTTAATTCGTGAATTAAAATGAATGAAATTTTGTACATTGGACGGCATCAAATCACTTAAGGGTGGAGATGAGAATCGATCCCAAGATCCCCTGGAATCGGGAGGGAGCTCTAACCACTTGAGCTATCCCTCACTCTCATTAAGGATTTCTAAATGAGCTAATATGAATCGTCTTCTGCTTACAGTCAGCAACTTCTATGAAACAGTACAGGCTTTACACAGTTTAAGTTTCCTGGCATACATTAAGATTTATGATACCATTTTGAGTAATTCAAACGACAAGTATTTAAAAAGCCTTATCATCCCTATCAAATCAAGAGTGGTAGTCCCTTGCGATGTTATGCAGGGTCATGAATTAGATTCCACAACTTGTTGGTATAGGGGGCTTGAGAATGTTTTTGATAGTGAATTTTCAGAAAGAATTAGATAGTGTACTGAAAAGCACTGGTTTCTATTAAACCATCATAGCCAAACTTTCGAAATTGATGGATTTGCGTATTTTCTTGTAGGACTGAAGGTATACTGCTAGAATTCCCGGAATTAACCAGTTCTACAAGACGAAATCATTGGTTGGTCTTAACGAAGGAAATTATTCTTTTACATCAGTTTTTATCTAAAAAGGAATCGCTGTCTGCAAACCAAGTATGGGAAATGCATGCAAGGACAATTTTAGGCTTTACAAGACTTCATGCTGCAAGAGAAATGCTTAGAATGGCACCTCCATTACCACAAACATTTTTGATCTTTACTTTATTTGATGAGCTGCCTAAAGGAGATTTTATCATAGAAGAACTTGCAGAAACTTTAAAGCTGATTGAAACGGAAGAACCCTGCAGTGCAAGTTCAATCCTGAAGAATCTGAATATGTCGCACAAGTTTGCACCTGAAATGGAGTCGAAGGAATCAGATGTGGTTGAAAAAGTCACTTTAAAAAGTGCCCAAGAAGATAGTTTTACAACATTGGATGAAGCTGTTACAGAGGTGAAGGAACAAGCAAAGGAAATCGAGTCAGCAAAAGCTACTACTGAAAGCTTAAAAGAAGAAGGGGTTGTTGACAGTGCTCTTGTACTTTTGGTAAGTGTGTAACCAGACTATATTAGGACTTTAATGAAAAAATAGTCTCATTTGTTTAATATTGTTTTTCCTTGGCCTTTCGTCATTCTAAATTCCATATATACTTTCTTTTCTGATTTCACTAGCTAGTAATAGTGTACACGTAAGACTAGTAAGAGTGCCCTGACTTCTTACTTTAAATCGCTACAGACTTCATGGCGCTTTTGTAGATTACACTTGTTCCTTAATATAGTGACCAGATTACTGTTTCTTTTGGAGTCCTCAAGCCCTATACCATTTTTAAGAGGATTTAGTTCAGTTCTATAATTTGATGTTGGTCAGGATGAGATGTCAGGTTCTGTTTCAGAATGGCATCCGTTGTGCCAGCCTATCATGCCTTGATACAGTGAAGAATGAAAACACGCCCATAGAGAAAAGAAAGAAAGAGAAAATCTGAAGGCCCATTCGTAGGCGGTAATAAATTGCTGTAATGCTTATGACTTGAAGTTCGACTTTACTTACAAAATTACATAAAAACTCACACTGCCTATCATGCTGTCCATGATATAGTTGGGCTGTATCCTACTTTAGTCATATCATCCTATGTATTAGTTTGTAATTGGGAATTTGGGATCATAGATAAAGCAGTGATTTTAACCATCGTAATCATTTGTAGGAGCTCTTGAAACCACTAAAAAGCAGTTGGATTTGGCTTCAAGAAGTATTGGCATGGGAGAGGCCGGGTGCAACCATCAATTTGATCACTGCTATTCTCTTCATAGCCTACAGGTAATTTTTCGGTATAATGATCAATTTGTAGTTGCATTTTTTAGTGCAGCAGGTTTGTTTTATCAGCAGTTTAATTGTAGGGAGTGGATTGGAAAGGCATTGGCTACCATCTTATTTTGGGCAGCCTATGAAATGCTACGAGCAAGGCAGCAGAGGATTGGAGAAAAGTATAATAAGGTGGTGGTGTGTACTGCTTCAGACCAGACAACAATGGAGAGCATTATATCCGCACAGCAAGGACTTAGAACTGCCCATGACTTGGTGCAGCAGGTCAACATTGCAATACTTAAGATCTACTCTATATTGGTTTCTAGGGCCCCCAAGGTACTTGATTCACTTGTTCTTGCCTCTCCTTTACATAAGTTACGAGAATAAATCAATTCAAAGTCTTTTAAGTGTTATGTTACAATGTTTGTTAGGAAATAAATCGAGTTGAATCTCAATATTTCCTGGTTTTCTTTTTTGATTATTAACACTTAATTTATTCTTCTTTTCACCACAATTTTGGTGTACTAGTATAATTGCATAATATGGGGTTGTCTTTCGGCAGTGACAATAGGACTTTATGATATTTCTATATTTAGATAAAAGTAAGGCTTGGCCAACAGAACATGTTTGCCTTAAATAAAACTCAAAATTATTGCGGGTTTTATGCAGCAAGCAAACATGGTGATGATGATGATGGTTGGAATAGCAGTGATTGTAGCTCTTATTCCCTTCAAGTATATGATTATGGCTTCCACCTTGTATCTATTTGCAACGAACTCAAAATATTACAAGAATCTCATGAAAAACGACTCAGGAAATCGGCGATTGAAGGAATGGTGGGACTCCATTCCCGTTATTCCTGTGGAAACCGTGGACGAACTGCCAGAGAACAGATGATTGGCTTGTGAACTGCAGTCAATGTTTTATGTAATTATATGACCTTAATGGGTTTTACAGCACACTTGGTAGTTAATAAACACTTGGCTAACAGTGTTTTGCGTGGAGCTTATCAGCTGCACCTAGCAATACACTCTTTGGGTGATAGGATTAATTTTTAATAAGGTATATACTTTCCTTTATAAGCTTTTGTTTCGTTTACATTCTTTTGTTTTAGGGGTAAGAGGTGTACAGAACACATAGCAAATGACTTCTGAGAGTTCTGAAGGTATAAAGTTTCATGATTCTGCATAATTATATGCCTTTTTTTATAACTAATATCCTAATAGTAGTGGCGGATCCAGTTGGTTTAACTGAACTCATACTAGATGCAGAATAATTCTAATAAATTTTATTTAAAAAAAAAAATACACATCACTACGCGCATAGTTAAAGAACTTTTTCTTGCACTCCAGTAGTAGTTGCTTTGTATTATTTAACTGGTCCTGGGTTCAAAATCCCCAGGACGTTGAAGCCTAAAATATTACAGAGTTACACACCTAGGAAAATAGGATAAGAAAGCTTCTAGGCATATGAAGACCCTAAACGATAAAAGTGCAAGAGGGTTAGCTTGCCCTTAAGTTTCTATATTTCTTCTATCACACTTTGCTCATTTTTTTTATCCTGTGATTTTTCATATTTACTCCTGTTTATATAAGCTGCAATTTGAATAGGAAAGACTAGCTCAATTATATTGATGTAAAATGTGATCCTCCACACATGTTGATAGAACTGTAATTTTCATAATGTTGGTAATCAGACTTGCAAAAATATGAAGATTGGCCTCAAAAACCAAAGTGTCAATCTGAGAACATCAACTTATCACAAAAGGAGTATTATCTTATGTAGCCTATGTTGTGAGCTACGCAAATATGTACTCTAGTAATTAAGAGTCAACACCAATTAAAGTTAAGAGGTTTGTCAACAAGATTTGTGAGCAATAATTTCTACTCATTAAAACTAGATTTGCATTATTAGGGTTTGATGAGTGCACAACGGAAGTAAAGATGTATTTGATTGAAAAGTATAAATTGAATTGATAATTGGCAACATAATTAATATAAATGAACACACGATTTTATGTAACAACGAGCACTTTTATTCCACTATTTAAAAGTAGGAGAGTACAAGAACCCCTTGAGGGTGATTATTACAAGAGAACTCTCACTATAAGAAACTCACAAGGAATATTATGATATTTTTGTAGAAAGGCTTGTGTTTGGTATGGCTTCTTGTGTTGTGTTTTGTTTTGTGTTTGTTGTGTGATTGAATACCCTTGACCTATATTTATAGGTGTAGATGGAGCTTGGAAGATTTGTGTGGAAACTTCCACATATGTAGATATTTTTTAAACTCTCCACATAAATCTAGAATTTTCATTGACATTTAATAATTCTAGATTTTTTCTCAAATCTCCATCCTTCTTGTGTCCATAATATTCTAGACAAGTAGGATATTATTTCGGAAGCCTTTAGAATATGAATAATACTTCGACTAAAATAATTGGCTTATAAAATTTGGGCCATACCCAACATGCATTATTCTAATGCATAGAAAATTATCATCATTAAAATATAACATCAGCAAAGGAACAGTCAGCCACCAAAAATATAGTACTTCCTTTTTTTTTTTTACAACACTTCTCTTTTCACGTTTGCCGATTCATGATTTCAATCATAAATATCTTTAATTACCAATGTGTAAAAGTTATAAATATTTGATATTAAAATAATATAAATTAAGACGAATCTAACAAGATTTCACATGACTATATTTTTGCTTAAGTATAAACCATCAAAGCTAGTCAAAGTGAAACACATGAATAGTGAGTGTAAAAGTCAAACGGTTGCAACTATAAAAAAACGAAGGAAGTACATGTGAACAACCGTCTCAGAGATTGCAATGTCTAGCAACCCCACGGATCCATGGTTATAATGAATTATTAGCCTTAATGTTCAAACCTATGACCTCATGCTTATATTATACTTTAACTTCAACCACTACTCCAATGACATATCTCATATCTGCAATGTTTTGTTAACAAGAGTTAATCATATTCATAAACTTGAAGTCAAACCAAGCAAATTAATAATTTTAAATATTAGATATTGGATAATATATTTTGATGTTCAATAATGATTGGAAAATATATTTAAATAGTACGAGTACTGAAGTAAATGTTGTTGAATTGGAATAATATATCTAGCCGCCCGATCAGATGTGTGTTGGCCGTTGGACTCCAACGGTTTGATCTTTGGATTCCTTCACTTAATTTCTTGAGTAATTCTTACAACACCCAATTTAAGAGGATGTTTAAGATGATTGTTCACCTCCCTTGATGCTTAGGATTCTTCTTTTATGTTCTTTCATGTTTCTCTATAAATAGAAGAAGCCTTTTTTTTTTTTTTTTTTTAATTCTGATTTTTATACCTGAAAAATACATCAAGCACAATAGTCTAAACACATTCTCTATTGGGCATAAGTTACTTGACTCAAACCTTCCACCCAAAAGTGTGTTTGTGTGAAATACGGCAAATACAATTGAGCATCTTGGTTGGGCCGAAATTCATTTTCAAGTTAGTGCTTTGCATCACGACACACCGATATTGTTCCGTTGTTTGTGAGATTATCTTTTTGATCTTATTTAAATATTTTTATACTAATTGTACTAGACTACTCCTTTATTTACAACAAATGTAACTAATTTTATCTTTTTTTGTATTTTATCACGTACTTTTTTATCATAAAACCTCATTTATAATATACATATAATGACGCGGGGCAGTGCCCGGGCCAAAAACTAGTTTATTAATTAAAACTTGGAAGTATAAAAAACAACAGCATAGAGAGCACCATCAGGTACCTCTTCAATCCAGACCCTCTTTACATCATTACAAGAACTAAGTTTAGCAAGTCTATGTGCCACACCATTTACCCAACCTTCCTACATGAGAAAACTCGATTGAAGTAAAGTGAAGAATGTCCCTCACTATAAAGCCAAAAGTGGTATTCTCGCTCTTTTTGCCTGGCAAAATGATGATAGAGTTTTAGATTATCAGTCTCCAAGATCACTTTGTTCAAGCCAGCATCAAGCAATAGATAGGGTGTGCCTAGCAGCCAACACTTCCAGAACATCCACAGCAAAGCTCCCCTTAAGCTCGCAGCAGGTGGGCAAGGTGGCAGCCATCACATCTCCAACATGGTCACATATTACTCCCCTAAGACCCGCTGAACTATCCATAAAGCAGGCAGCATCAGAAATTGCTTTCAAAAAGGCCCGTAGCATGAGGCATCCAGGTATTAAGAACTGGTTGTCTGCTGCAAATATCAGAGGGGACCTTCTCATTTGCTTTTGCAAACTCCCCAACAACATTTACAGCTTTTCGGATCACATCATCAATCTGAGTTCTCTTTTGCTCAAAAAACCAGGCATTTTTTCACAACCAAATACCCCAAAGCAAACTCCAGAACATATGCCACCATTCTACTTATTTTAACAAAATCAATGGTATAAACACAGTTTCTAAAAGACAGGTTCTAAACTTTCATTGAGTCCAAGCGAAGGGGCGAGAAGTGCCATATTTCCATGGCTGAATTGCATAAGTACAGTGTGTGCATCAAGGTTTCAGCAGATTCACCGCACAGTGGACATATGTCGTCAGTACAAACACCTCTTTTCTTCAAATTGCTATGAACAGGAATACCACCATTGAGAGCTCTCCAACCAAAATGTATAATTTTTGGTTGAAGATTTGCAGCCCTTGGGTTCTTCCAAACCCAATTGTTGGATGACACAGATGAAGAAGCACGAGAGTCTCTCTTTGCTTTTAATTCCACACAGTAAGCATTTTTGACAGAAAACTGCCATTATTTGAATGGTGCCAGGTTTAGCTATCCTCCCCACTATAAACAGCAATAGGGATTTTAGCAATTTCAGTCACTTCCCAGCTTGAGAAGTTATCACTCAAAATTTCAGCATTCCAGAAGCCCTCACACATCAATTCAGAAACAATTTTAGGAGCCTCATCCAAAGTCTGCAGTCGTGGCAGAGCTTTGAAATCAAGCATATATGGGATCCATGGGTCCCTCCATATGTCAATTGAGGATCCTTTCCCAACCATCTTTCAAGCCCCCTTTCTAGCTACATCCCTTGCAGACAAAATAGACCTCCACGTGAAGCTAGCACTCAGGGTAAATTTTGCATCCATGATGTCAACATTCGTGAAATATTTGGAAAACATTCGGAAAATAACATTAGTTACAGAACTTACTAAAAAAACATGAGACACAGAGCATATCATCATGGAGCTTACTAGTGCCATCGATATACAAAATTGCAACAACATACAAAAGTAGCAAACATGATAATATAAACTGACAGAATAAGTTTACATCAGGAATTTAATAAAAACTACACTTTTCATTTGAGAAATATGCAAATTTTATAATCAATTTCAAACTATATCGTCAACAGTCGTAAATACAGTTAAACTAAATTAGCTTGTTTTCGGCAAGAATGCTACACATTAATTGATGGTAGAAACCTTCCTCAACTGTAGACTAGCCAAAGTAACCAAACAGCTGAATATTGAGCACATTTTGCCAAAAAATTGTGAAGAAATATAAACATTAAAAACTCACTTAGGTCATAGACACAATAGATTTGTTGATAAAACAAGTGATTTTTAACAGTTTTGGTAATTAGATTAGGTAAGGTTAAAAAGTGACAAATCAGCCTCAAAAACCGCAAACAAATAATAGAGAGTATCAGTTCACAGCAAAAGGAGTCTAATGTAGCCTATGATTTGCAAATTAGCTAAGCATAGATCTGGCTCAGTATTCAACAGTCCAACACCATTTGAAATTCGAAGTTTGGATGAATAGTCACTCTTGGTCAGAACAAACAAGATTGGTAAACAAACAAAACTAATTCCTTTTCATTATGCTGAATGTATAGAAAATCATTAGTATACTAAACATCCTCAAATCAACCATTAGCTAATTCGTAATACAAGTGAACAGAAGACTCAAAAAAAATGCAGTTTCCAGCATCCCTAGGGCTCCATGGCTCAGCTAGAATTCCAATGTCGTTTCCACAATAACAGAATTTAATAAAACAACCATAACACACAAAGAGAATCCATAAACCAAAAATGATAAAACTACCTATTTACAATCAAAATCAATAAAATCTCAAAATAATAATCACAACAGAAATTGAGCAGTGCTTAGAAAGTATTAAGTTTGATTATTGCATCAAGGAAAATTTGAAAAATACCAACCAACAATTATACCCATTTTTTTACAAAACCACCAACAATTTTTTTTTTATTTTATTT